AAACCGTATTCTCGCTCTCTTCTCTTTCTGAGTCCCTTCAGGGCCTGCGGACCAGCCTCTGGAAGGGCGGAGGGACCGGCCCCAGCAGCCGAGCAGAGGCCCAGACCGGCAGCCGGGGAGTGAGGCGGCTGGGGTGACGGGCAGGAACGGCCATGGGGTCACCTGGTCTAAACGGAGGGGCAGGCGCAGAGGTTCTGACGGGCGTCTGGGGGGGCCAAGCACTCGCAGGTCTGGGGGCAGCCCCGTGAGGCAGCCGAGGGGCTGAGCGAGGACCAGGAGCCAAAAACGTCCAGTTAAGGGCCTTTGCTCGGGGCAGGGTGCTGCGACCGTCCGAGGGCAGACCGCAGCGGCAGGAGAAGGCGGGAGGGTTTAAGGGTGTGCAGCAGCAGACCCCCCGGGCGGGTGCGTCCCCCTGCCGCTCTGCCCTAGGTGACCCGGGCAGCTGTTCGCCGGACAGTGTCCTCTGACCAGGGATGGCTGGTTGGGAACACAGAGTCCCGGGGGATTTACGGGCCTTGTTTCTGGGAACAGCCTGACGGGTGGCGGGGGTGTGTGTGGGGGGGCTACTTGTGGTAACAGGGAGTCTCCCGGTCAGGTAGTTCGCCGGTGCCGCCCACCTTCTCCGTCCCAGCGCAGGCGGTGGCTCAGGCCCCCAGGTCCCACCCAGTACGTTCGAGCAAGCCCCTTCCCCAGTGCCCAGGCCTGGCCGCTCCATGGACCTGGGTCCCCGGGCAGGAGAGGGGCCTGGACAACCAGGGAAGGGTACGGCGCCGGCCCGGCTTCCCCCGGCCTGTGGTGGCCCCCGGGGAAGAGGCGGGTCAGGCTGGCCCTGCGTCCCTGGTCCGGTGGCCTCAGCGTCACCTGAGGGGGCCTTGCAGCATCTCCGAGCCTTGGCTGGGGACGCAGTGATGCCCTCAGCCCACACTGCCGACACGCCGCCTGCCCACGAGCGGCCACACGCGGCCACGTGGAGCGGTGGGACGGCCCACCAGGGCCCCGGGCCACACCCCCCGCTGCACTCACGCCCCGGGGTTTGGCTTGGAGTACGGGCTGGACGGGGGAACCCGGGAGTTAAACATTCTTTAGCTTTATCTTCTAGCCACCGAGCTGGGTGACGAATGCACGCGGAGAGCTGCTGTTCCGGGAACCCGACCGTGTGATCGGACCCACCCTGACTCCGGGGGCCCGAGAGCGACCGGGCCTCTGTGCTGCAGGGGGACAGCCCGCGACCCAGATGCACCGCAGCCGCAGCTGCTGTGCTCCAGGGAGAGCCTGCGCGCCCAGGACACAGGCGACCAGTTGCCACCGAGCAGATGGGGGGACGCCGGCAGAACACCAGGCTGCAGCCTGCCCCCCACTCACCTCCTCCCTGAGCTCCGAGCCCCTGACCTGCCCTCCCCGTCCTCACAGAACGGGTTGGCCGGTGGCAGTCTGAGTGGTCTTTCTGGGCGCCGTCCTCTCGGGTCACCGGCCCTCGGAGGGACCCGCCCGTGAAGGTTCGGTCCTGCGGTCGGTTGCACGTCCTGGTTCCGGTGGTGATGGGCCGCCACACGACTGCCCACCTTTCCGGCTGGTTTCAGGCTCAGTCTGATGTGAGGCCGTCTGCCCCACACCCGGTGGCCAGGCCTGAGCCCGGGGCTGCGGCTGTCCCAGCCCTGACACTGGGGCTCTTCAGGCGCGGGAGGCTGGTGCTCGGGGCCGGTGCCATCGGGCCCTGCGTGGAGTTGAGGCCGAGACGCCCCAGATCTCCTGGGCCCTGCGCCCCCCGCCCCCGCCTCCCCTGGCTTTAACTCTGCCTCCAACTCTCTCTCCTCTCGGATCCCCTCGTCCCTCCTGAGGAGAGGGGTGCCAGCAGTCCCTGGGGGGCTCTGCCCTCCTCCAGTGCCCGCCCAGCCCCACTTGGGCATCCCGCAGGGCAGTGCTCCTCAGCACCGAGCTGCGTTTACCCTGGGCGGTGCAGAGCGGGGTGGCCTCGCACCCGGGGTTCCAGGACTTTCTTGGAAGACATGCCGTCCCCTGACCTGGGGTGTGCGAGCAGTCCGGTAAAGGCGACCTGGGCCTCCTCGAGGTGACAGGGGCCTCGAGTCCGACTGTGACGGCACAGGACAGCGAGACTGAGAGGCAGGCCGGCCTGGGGAGGGCAGAGGGGGCTTGGGGGCTTGGGGGTCAATCTGCAAAGGGCAGCCTGGGGCCCTCCACAGGGCAGGTGGTGGATTTCTTCAGCACCTGAGTGACAAGCGGGAAGAGACAAGCCCACCAATCCTAAGACGTGAACCTAACCGGGGTCTTGGTTTGACCAAACCGCGGGCAGTCACGCATACGAAATCATAGGTCTGTGTATATGTGCACATATGTGTGAAAGTTGAACGCCAACTCTATCTTTGATATTGAGGAATTATTGTTAAGTTTTTAATATTCCTCTTAAAAATGTACAGTGATTAAAAAGTAAAAAAAACAAAAAAACAACCTACAGTGCCCTTGATGGTGTGGCTCAGTGGATTGAGTGCCAGCCTCTAAACCGAAGGATCGCTGGTTCGATTCCCAGTCAGGGCACATGCCTGGGTTGCAAGCCAGGTCCCCAGTAGGGGGTGCACAAGAGGCAACTGATCCATGCATGTCTCTCTTGCACGTGGATGTGCATTTTGTCATACTTATAAATAAATATAAATTTCCCTCCCTCTCTCTAAAAGTAAATAAATTTTTAAAAATTAACACTGTTATAAAAATACAGAAAAATTGCCTTTTTCAGTGTTCAGTTTTGAGTTTCACACACGAACTGCTTTGTGGGACCCCCCCCATCAGGATGCAGAGCAGCTCGGGGATGCAGAGGCACCCTGGGCGCCCCCCCGTGCTGCTCCCCACCCCTGGACGCCAGCGCTCTGTTCTCCCCGCTGCCACTGGACCTTCTGACAGTGTCTCCTCCGCGGAACCACACACCGCGCGGCCTTTGGGACTGGCCTCTTTCTCTCACATGTGTCTCTCTGGTTACCCCACGTCACCGCACCCGTGGGCGACCCCACGTGCAGACGGACCACAGCTTGCCCACTGGCGGCTGAAGGACCTCCAGGAGCCCCCTGGCTGGGGCTGTGATGACCGGACGGGGTGTGGACGCTGACACACAGGCCCGTGCGTAAAGCCCACTTTGCTGTTCTCAGGGTAAGTGCCCAGGAGCGGGGACGCTGGCCCACGTGTGCTGGTGTGCGATGGACCTTGTAAACAACTGCTCAGCTGGAGGTTACAGCAGCTGCACCCTTCAACGTTCGCACAGTTCCTGAGGCACGAGAGTCCCGGGCTCCGCCTCCTCGCCTGCAGTGACCAAGTGACCCCCCGCCTGCCTAGCCAGGGCGGACTGGGGTGGGGGGCTTCCTGGGGCGCAGGACTCTGGGCGTTAAAAGCGGGAATCTCCTGGGGGAAAGGGAGGGTTGGTCACCCTGCCCTTGCCAACACTTGGTGCCAGCGCGTTTTATTTTAGCCGTTCCAATGCGTGTGCCGTGTCTCATTCAATTTGCATTTTCCTGAAGGTCGATGACGTCTGGGCACCTGCTCGGCCCCCGTTTGCCACCCACACAACCCTCTATGTCTAGATTCATTTTTTCTCGTTGGGCTGTCTTCTAACTGTTGGGTTTGAGAGGTTTTTATAGGTTCTTTCTCTCTGTGTAGTTAGGTACGTGATTTCCAAACTTTTCTCCCAGTCGGTAGCTTGCCTTTTCATCCTGTTAATGGTCTTTCTAAAAGCAAAATTAAAAATTTTTGATAAAGCCCAATTTACCTTTGTTTTAGTTTGTGGTAGAACACACATAACATAAAAATTTACCATCTGAACCATTTTTTGAAAGGATTTTATTTATTTTTAGAGAGAGGGAAAGGAAGGGAGAGAGAGGGACAGAAACATCCATGTGTGGCTGCTTCTTACACTCCCCCCACTGGGGACCTGGTCTGCATCCCAGGCCCGAGCTCTGACTGGGGCTCGAACCAATAACTCTTTGGTCCACAGGCCAGTGCTCGATCCACTGCACCACACCAGTCGGGGGATTTGGCCCATTTTTAAGTGTGCAGTTCGGTGGCATTCAGTGTATTTCCAGGGCATTTTATCACCCCGACAGACACTGCACCTGCTAAGTACTAGCTCCCCCTCCCCCGGAAAACTCTACTGTACTTTCTGTCTCCTGCACGGGTCTATTGTGGGCACCTTCTACGGTGAAACTGTGCAATATTTGTCTCCTTGAGACGGGCTCACTTCCCTTTGCATACTGTTTTCAAGGCTCCTCTATGTTGTAGCCCGGTCAGAACTTAATTCCTTTTTTGTCTCATTCTACTTATTCTTAAGTGGGACAAAATGCACATAACCTTCGCCATCTCATCGGGCAAAGGTCGGTGGCATTGAGCACGTTCACACCGTGCAGCCACTGGCCCGACTGCCGCGCTCTGCCCACTGCACGCTCGCTCCCCGCCCCGCCCCGCCCCCGCCCCTGTGGACCTGACCCCCGAGACCCCAGGCCAGGGGGGTCGCACGGCGTGTGTTCCCGTCTGGGGACTGCACTGAGTGGCGGCCCTGCGGGGCCCGGCCTGCGGAGCCGGCGACACACTTCTCGGGTGTGGCCGGACCCGTCCCTTCGGTCCTCTCATCCCTCCTCGGACACTGGGCTGCGGCCACCGCCGGGCCCACAGCCTCCACCGTGGCAGCGGTGCGGTGTGCAGAACTGCAGGGAGGAGGGCGGGGGGAGGATGCAGGAAGAGCCCGGACAGGAGGAGAGGAGGAGGGAAGGAGGAGCGGAGGAGAGGAGGGCGGCCTCAGTGGCCTGCCGGGCCCCGCCCCTCCCCGCCCCCAGGGCTAGGCCCCGCCTCCGGGACCGCCCCCGCCCCACGGCCTGCCGGGAGACGTAGTCCAGAGCCTTTCAGAGAGCGGGACTCGGAGTCCCAGCGAGCCCCGCGGCCCGCCTCCGGACCCCGACACCACCCCGCCCCGTGGCCTGCCGGGACTTGTAGTCCAGCACCGGCGGACGTCCAGGCTCGGGGCGAGTGGAGAGACTCGGTGTCCCAGAGAGTCCCGCGCTGGGCCACGACGCCGCGCACCACCCTCGCCGTCGCTGCCGGCGGCGGCCTTTCTCCGGGCGACGCCGCTACTGCCGTTGCTTCGCGGGTTGAAGGGTCCGGGCGTCCCAGGGCGAGCGGAGACTGCGGGTGGGAGCCTGCGCGGGCCCTGCGGAGCGGGCCGGGGGAGGCCGGGATGGCGCGCCCCGGAGGTGGGCGCGCTGCCGGGCGAGCCCGCGCCTGGGGCGGTTGGGGAGGGGCCGAGCGGTGGGCGAGTGGGGCGGGGAAGGAGGGGCCGGGGACTGCGGTGGGAGGGGCTTCGGGGGAGCCCAGGGCGGGCGGTGCCCTAGGGGGTCGGTGGTCCCGGTGGGCGCGCTGCAGTGGGGTCTTTTCCCGGCCTGGGGGCTCTCCTGACTCCAGCGCGCCCCGCCCCCAACCGAGCTGGTTCCCAGACGGTCGGAGGAGGGGGCGGCCGCTCTGCCCGGGGAACCCGGGTGCTTTGAGTGGGATACCGAGCTGGCCTGCTCTCCCTGCAGTTGACTGAAGCGAGCGTCCGGGCTCCAGAGCTCCCGGCGGGATCCAGGGGCCTCCTGGGGCTGCACCGGATGGTCTGAGGGCGGCGCAGACATGGCTCACCTCAGGGGATTTGCCAGCCAGGTGAGGGTGGAGCTCGGGGTTGTGAGCGCACGCGTGCTGAGCCCCCTGGGACGAGAGCCCCGGCCGCAGAGTGGGTGCGGGGACATCTTACTGCGCCAAGTCTCTCTGGTACACGATCCCGGGGTTTCAGAGGAGCCCCCCAGGGTGTTGCACGTGTGGGCAGAGTGGGGGGCGGGGCTGACGCAGGGGGGCCGGGGTAGCGTTTTGTGGGGCAGACGCCCCAGTTCGCAGTTAGTGTCAGGATCGGTGTCCAGTGTGCAGAGACCCGTCCGGGGGCGCGGCGGGGCGCGAGGGCGGAAGCCTGGGCCTGCGCCTCGGACGCGAAGGTCGGAGTCCACACTGGAGGCTGGGCCTGGGCTGGTGTTACGCGGGCCATGTTGGGCTGTGGCAGGAGCTCTGGGGGACCCCCTCCCCGAGGGGCACTGGGGGCGGCTGGGAATGTGGTTAAGCAGCTGCTGCCCATGAGTCCATGTGTGGGGAAAGCGAGGCCCCGGGCGCGTTTTCCTGGATGGGAGGTGGTTTGCTCAGGCCCGGTGTGCTTACCTGGATGCTGCTTGCTGTCCGCTGGCGTCTTTGGCTGCTTGGGTCCTGTAACTGGTGACACTGGCTGACCCCGGGGACCCTCTGCCGTGTGCCCTGAGTTTGCCTGGAATGAGGACCTGCTGCTCACCACCCAAAGGGGGTTGTGTGGGCAGCTGGTGGTCTGTGTCTCCTTCCTTTTGTTATTTCAAAGCAGGTGTGATGTGATGCTGATTTGAAGTGCACCGAACCGTGGTGGTAGGTGTTCCCTTTGAAGTGCTGGCTCCTCGGGCAGATTTGGGCTGACTGCATCCAGGCGTGGGAGGGTCTCTGAGACAGAGTCCTCCTCGCCTCGGTACGAATGGTGTGAGGGGTCAGTCGGGACAGTGTGTGGGGGGCATGTGTCCACGTGTGGCCAGGGGGAGTGGGAGCAGGTGCAGCTCCAGACCCAGCTGCGCTCCTTGGGGAAACCGGGGGGGCCGCGCACAGCTGTTGGGCAGGGCACCCAGGACCAGCTGTGACCACAGACGGGGACGGGGGTCTGCTGACTGGTGCCGAATTACGTGATTTTCATTCGCACCTGCCCTGTGTCTCCGGTGAGTTACGGGACGAAGGTCCTGGGGGGGAATGTGTGCCCCCAGCTCGTCTGTAAGGGCTGCAGGTGCAGGTCCCACGGGTCCTGTGAGTCCCCCCCGACCCGTGTGCTGACGGAGATTGGCCTGGGTGCCCAGTCAGACTGCGGAGGGATGCAGGCGTGGAGGAGGAGCCGGGGAAGCGACCCCAAAGGAAGGAAGAAGCCCCCTCTGTCCTTTCAGGGGTGGGAGACTCCGCCTTTGGCCTTGTCGGAGGCAAGAAGCCTGACCAGACAGCACTTTCTCCTGCGATGTTGTCGCTGCCCTGTGGGGGGGTCCCCCACAGCCTGTGCTCCGGCCTTGGCCTTGCACGCCCCTCCTCCTTGCCAGCTCCTGCCCCGCCTGCAGGGCCAGAGTGGCTGGGGTGCTCCCTGGCTGCCGCCTGTCGTGTGGTGGGCGGCGACAGCTTGGCTTCTCTTGTTTTGTGGGGTGGCGCTAATGGCAGACACAGCGCCACACGGAGGACCCCCATCTGGCAGCACCAGGGCTGATTCGGAGAACGAGGGTCTTGACCGCCAGAGCCGGTCAAGTGACCCGAGCACGTGCCCAGGCCACAAGCACCCCCCAAGAGGGCAGCCCTTCACCCGGCAGGGCGGGGCGGGGAGGGGCTGTCCCTGCGGCTGCATGTAGCACCAGGGTCACACTCTGAGCTGCGGAGTGTGAGCGCTGAGTGTTGGGGTCCCCCTTCCCTGTCGAGCCCAGGCTCGAGCTCAGGGGTGTTTTGTGTTCTCCTCGAGGTGGAGGGGTCTGAGGGTGCTGCCCGGGGTCCCCGCGGGGGGCCGCGGTGGGCCAGACGCAGCTCTGGCCCTATGTGCAGAGCGAGTGAGTCGTGTTGTGAGCAGAGCCAGGCAGGGGGACGCGTCACCGGCAGAGGCCTGAGGGTGGTTGGGGGGGCCCCGAGAGCTGGAAGGGCAGTGGTGCCCAGGTGCTGCCAGGCCTCGGCCCCTCTGGGTCACCTTCTCTCAGGCCACCTTACAGGGCGAGGGGTTGTCCTGGCAGTGGCAGAGGACACAGGTAAGGGCACCGGCTGGCCTGGAGTCGCCGCATGGCCGGTGTCTTGCAGAACGGCCCCAACACAAGCTGGAGCTGGGGGCCGCCTGCAGGCGCCCATTCTGCGCTGTGGGAGGGCGCCGTCGGGGCCACGGGGGAGAGGAGCCGGCCGAGGGGCCCTGTCCGACCACAGTCCACACGTGGCCGAGGCCGAGTGGGGAACAGCGAGGTGCCCCACCCAGAGGGTTGCCGCTCTGTCCCCAGCAGGAAGGTGTCGGTGCTGACGGCTGAGCGGTCAGCAGGGTGGGCTGTGCACTGGTGAGAGGCAGCTGTTCTTCCTGGCTGGCGCGCCTGCCGTCCCTGTCCTCCGTGCCCTCTGCGGGTCTCCCCTGGTGTGGCGGGCATCCTGGGGCTTTCCTTGTGCTTGGGACCCGTGTCCCCGCGGGGCCGCCCCCTGCTGACGGGCTGCCTGCCCCGTGTCCGCAGCACCCACGGGTGGACCCCGAGGAGCTCTTCACCAAGCTGGACCGCATCGGCAAGGGCTCCTTCGGGGAGGTCTTCAAGGGCATCGACAACCGCACCAAGGAGGTGGTGGCCATCAAGATCATCGACCTGGAGGAGGCGGAGGACGAGATCGAGGACATCCAGCAGGAGATCACCGTGCTCAGCCAGTGCGACAGCCCCTACATCACCCGCTACTTCGGCTCCTACCTGAAGGTGCCGGGGCCGGGGCCGGGGCTCGGGGGGACGTCCGGCGCTCCTGGGGCCCGGTGGGGAGCCCCCTGGGGCTCAGGGTGCATGCGGCGTCGAGGCCGCGCTCGGGCTGGCCGGCCGGCCGGCTCCCACGGGCCCCTGGCGGGTGTCGCAGGGCGGTTCTGCCGCTGCCCCGCGCACCCGGTCTGTGTGCAGGGCTGCCGTCCCAGGTGTGACGGGAGGGGGCCGGGCCGGGCCGCCGGAGCCCCAGGGACGGACCCTGCCGGGGGGTGTGTGTCGTGGGGAAGGGGCCTCGCGCGCTGCCGCGGGCTGACCGGCGTTTCTCTGGCCCCAGAGCACAAAGCTGTGGATCATCATGGAGTACTTGGGCGGTGGCTCCGCGCTGGACCTGGTGAGGTGCAGGCCACAACCGTGGGCATCGTGCCAGGGTGCTGGGGGCAGGACCAGACTGGCGATTGCCGTGGGGTTGCCCCTGCGGTGGCCCCGGGCTCCCCTGGGCCTCCTCTGGGCCTCCTCTGGGCCTCCACCGGGCCTCCACCCCTCGGCTGCTGTGGTGCATTAGGTGGCAGTCAGGAGCCGGCTGAGCCCAGACCAGGTGCTGGTGTTAGTCCTGGGCCTCTCCATGCTGGGGCCCCGACACACGGGCGCAGGGGTGTGGCCAGGACCGCACTCCCGTCTGTCACCTTCACAGCAGAGGCCAAGGCAGCACGTGTGCCGCACAGACACCCTGACCCCACACACCTGACTCCCATCTGAAACTTTGTCTCCCTCCCAAAGTTGTTAGCGGAGTAGGAGGCCCTGCCACCCTCCCACCCACCCACAGGGCCACCCCTGGTGGAGAGGTGGTTGAGCTCTGTCCTTGGCGAGGGTCCGGGTGGGGTGGAGGCAGGGGTGGGTGGCCTGGGCGGGCGCCGCGGCCCACCGCCCCATCTCCACGCAGCTGAAACCCGGCCCGCTGGAGGAGGCCTACATCGCCACCGTCCTGCGGGAGATCCTGAAGGGCCTGGACTACCTGCACTCAGAGCGCAAGATCCACAGAGACATCAAAGGTCCCTCGGGGCGTGGCTCCCCTGCTGGGCCCCTGGGCCCGGGAGGCCAGGGTGTGGCGGGGCCTTGTGGGTGTGGGGGATCTGCAGGGCTCAGTGGGCCCGGGGTCTGAGCGCGACCGGCAGCTCTGCGGCCAGAAGACACAGCCCATAACAGGGAGAGCTCTCTTGGCACCGGGTCCGGTGTGGGGAAAACACCTACTGTGCGCCCAGTGTGGGGTGGAGGGACTTGACCGAAGCTGACAGTGCACATTCTTGTTTGTGTGAGGTGTGAGCTGGCCCTGCTGAGTGGCCTCGGCTGAGAGGCTGCCCGGGGACACTGGTGGGGCGGGGGCGGGGCTCAGGGTCCCCGCCTGCTGGGTGGTCTGGGAGACAAGGGCAGTTGCTCCGTTCTTGCATCTGCCACGCAAGGCAGCCCCCGGCGGGGCCTCGGAGCTCAGGCTGGGGGTGTGCGCAGGGTGAGCCCCTCACGCCGGCCGGTGCCCGCAGGCACTGCCCTGTGGCCCTGGGTCTGGGGGTGGACAGACCTGGCTCTGTCTTGGGCCTGCTGGGTGGACACGCCGAGGACCTGGGGGCGGCTCTGCCGGCGTCCCCAGGAGGCCCGGGGCTGCCAGCGGGCACATCCTCGGGGGTGCGTGCCGGGAGGACCCGCGGGTGACGACGCCCTGCATCCTGTGTCGAGCAGCGGCCAACGTGCTGCTCTCAGAGCAGGGCGACGTGAAGCTGGCGGACTTCGGGGTGGCGGGGCAGCTCACGGACACGCAGATCAAGAGGAACACCTTTGTGGGCACCCCCTTCTGGATGGCGCCCGAGGTCATCAAGCAGTCGGCCTACGACTTCAAGGTGCGCGCAGCGGGCGGGGGTGGGGGGACGGGGCGGGGCCCAGGGAGCCTCAGGCGGCGAGCGCCCGTGTGGCTCCGTGCAGGCCGACATCTGGTCCCTGGGGATCACAGCCATCGAGCTGGCCAAGGGCGAGCCTCCGAACTCGGACCTCCACCCCATGCGCGTCCTGTTCCTGATCCCCAAGAACAGCCCGCCCACGCTGGAGGGCCACCACAGCAAGCCCTTCAAGGAGTTCGTGGAGGCCTGCCTCAACAAGGACCCCCGATTCGTAAGCCCCCCTGGGCTGGGGAGGGCGGATCCAGGCTCTCTGGGGGCCCGTGGTGGGTGCTGGGGGGCGCGGGGCCCGCGCCCAGTGACTCACGACCGCCCCCCACAGCGGCCCACGGCCAAAGAGCTGCTGAAGCACAAGTTCATCACGCGCTACACGCGGAAGACCTCCTTCCTGACCGAGCTCATCGACCGCTACAAGCGCTGGAAGTCCGAGGGCCACGGCGAGGAGTCCAGCTCCGAGGACTCGGACATGTAGGCCTGCCGGTGCTGCGGGGCTCCCGCCGAGGCTGCGCCCCGCGAGGGCCCGCGCTCCGGGGCGGGGACCGGGGTGCTGGTGCTGGTGCCTGTGTGGCCGCCGGGCTGCTGCAGTCCGGGCGCAGCCCTAGCCAGCATCTGCGGCCGTGGGGCTGCCTCCGAGAGGAGCGTGGGTGCCGAGTGGCGTGTGCACCTTGACCCCTGCGTCCTGGCCCTCGGGGTGCTCGTGACGCCTCCCCTCCGCCGCAGGGACGGAGACGCTGAGGATGGCGAGCAGGGCCCTGTCTGGACGTTCCCCCCCACCATCCGGCCAAGCCCGCACAGCAAGCTGCACAAGGGGACGGCCCTGCACGGTCCCCAGAAGGTGGGGTCCTGCACGTGCGGGGGCCTGTCCGCTGAGGAGGCGGCTTGGGGGTGGCGCCCGCTCCCAGCCCCTGACCTTGTGCGCCTTTCAAGGAGGCCAGGGACGGGGCAGGGCCTCTGCCCTGCTGACTGGCTGTGGCCTTGCTCCTGCAGCCTGCGGAGCCTGTCAAGAGGCAGCCGCGGTCCCAGTGCCTGTCCACGCTCGTCCGGCCCGTCTTCGGAGAGGTGAGGCCAGGCCGGGGGCCCTGTGGGGCAGGGACCGTAGCACCTGTACACGGGGTTTCCGGATCCCTTGGGTTGACGGTGGTTTGACCCAGGGGCTGGGGCTTGGTAGTGGGGCTGGGGCTTGGTAGCAGGACTGGGGACAGCGGGGACGGCGTCCCTGACACGGCACTCTCAAGTTCCCGGGCCTGCCCGTGTCTCCTGGGGCCCCAGGGTGGCTTTGAGCTGCGCGCCCGCACACACACACACACACGGGTGACCAGAGGCACCCGAGAGGCCTCGTTCTTGGCGTCGGGCCCAGGGCAGGGAGGCTTCAGGGTGACTGACTCCCAGGTCTGTGTCACCTGTTGACGGGCAGGCGGCAGCACCCCAGGGGGACGGTGTCGCCAGGAGCCCCACGCCCTGGCCTCGGGGTGGTAGTCGGTCATGTGACCACTTCCCACCTGAGAGTAGCGCCTGGAGTCCAGGGAGGGTGGGCAGGGTGCGGCAGGGTGGCTGATTCTGTGGGCCGCAGGGGGACGTGTCCTTGGAGGCATGCAGACTCCCCCCGCTGACCCCCCACTTGTGTGGGGTTGAGGGGCATGGCAGGTACACCTGTGCCTAACGCCCCCCCCACCAGGCCAGGGGTTCCCACAGCTGGGGGCAGCCAGTGCGGGGGCCTGGGGTGGGGGGGGCATGCCCTGAAGCCCTGAGGGTCCGAGCTGGCCGTCCCACTGCGCCCTGCCCTCTGGGAGTTAGTTTCTGAGCTGTTCTCCCACGTCCACTGTGCCTGAGTCCTGAGCTGTCGCCCACAGTTGGGACGAAGCCCCGTGGTTAGCTGGGCCCGCCACAGCACAGGGGGCTGGCAAAGACCCCTCTCAACAACCAAGACCCTCGGGGGCTCGGTGGGGCCCCAAACGCAAGTCACAGGGGAGGGCCCAAGGAGCGTGCAGCACGAGCCCCCGGCCAGACGCCCGGCGGTGTGTCCCCAGCTCAAAGAGAAGCACAGGCAGAGCGGCGGGGGCGTGGGTGCCCTGGAGGAGCTGGAGAACGCCTTCAGCCTGGCGGAGGAGTCCTGCCCCGGCATCTCGGACAAGCTGATGGCTCACCTGGTGGAGCGGGTGCAGAGGTGAGGGAGCTGGCGAGGGCCCGGGGCAGCGCTGGGGGTTTCCCTGCTGTCCTCCCTCTAGAGGAAGCACTGGGCCTTTCCAGCCCAAAGGGGCCACACTGGGAGGTGCCCCTGCCCGCGCCCCAGGGCTGCTCTGTGCTGCCGGCCGCAGCCGGCGCCCCCTGGTGGCTTCCCGCGGGGCCTGCACCGGGGCCTGGGGCAGTGACGGGCAGGTCTCTTCCAGGTTTTCCCACAACAGAAACCACCTGACGTCGGCCCGCTAGAGCTGCTGTCGTCGGCGGAGAGGGGCGCGCTCTGCAGGGACCGGCTGACCAGCAGCCTCCGTGGGTCGGGCCCGCCCTGTGCCCGATGCCCCCTGCCCCCCCTCCCCTCCCCGCCCGGCCGCGACTCCCTGGCGGCAGAGACTCACGGAGGAGGACTGTGCGGCGGCACAACCCCTCGCCTCCCCGGGGCGGGCCTCCCCTCCCTGGGCTCGGGGGTGGCGGCTGCCAGGACGCGAGAGCGGAGACGGGCGGGCACACTGGCCTCCTCCCTCCGCCTCCCCCCCCCCGGGGCCCCCGATGGGGCCCCCAGTGGTCGTAGACTTGCCTTGTGGTGTGGGATCAGGTACCGTGGCTCCTCGTAAGTGTGCGTGTCAGCCAGAGCGTGTGCGTGTGTGTGCGAGACCTGCACTCCGTGCGTCCCCGTCCACTCTAAGGGGACGGTGTTAGTTTCCCAGAACATGGAGAGGCTCCTGCTGCTTTCAATAAAGACCCGCCTGGGGACCTGGCTGGAGTCCTCGCAGCGCACGGTGGCCCCAGAGGGGCCCGAGGTGGAACAGAGAGGCCGCAGGCAGGCGCAGGAAAACGCCGTTTATTTCCAGCCGCATGCGCACGAGCGCGGGGAGGCGTGCACGCCGACCCCACTGGTTAAGCAGCAGCAGGAACTAATAAATTAGCGGCCCTCGCCCTCCCAGGGCGCCCGGGCTTTGGTTTCCACTTCTCCAGAGGTATGTGGGGTGGGCACCAAGCGGCTTCTGCGGGACTTCTGTGCCCGCCGCCGGCTGACCAGAACTGGAGCACGGGGCAGCCAGGCCAGCTTGCAGCGGGGGCAGGTGGCTGTGGGGCGGCCCTGCGCCCTGCTCTGGGGGCAGAGGGCGGAGGAGCGGCACCAGCCTGTCTGCTGCCCGGGCCTGCGTGTCCACTTGCTTGTGTGTTCTTCCCGGGACCCCACGGGGCCAGCGACTGCACCAGGTCTTCAGGGGGACGGCATCCCTGCCAGGTGCCCCTGCGAGGCCACCCGGACGGCTGGCCCGTTGCTGGGAAGGTGGGATGAGCGGTTGTGGGGCCTGGGCTGGCCGTGCTGCTCCGTCCTCGTTGGGGCAAGAGGGGCGTCATGCCTCCTTGGGGGCCCCCGCCCGCCCGGCCGAGCTGCTGGCACGCTGGATCACCTCCATCCACCTGCGGGGGGGGGGGGGTGCCCAGTCAGCACACTCAGGACGCTCGCTTGGGAAGCGGGGCACTTTGTTGCCGTCTGACCAGTGGGCTTGCGCTCAAACACTCCCCGAGGGTGACCCCAAACACGGACTGGGTGGGACAAGACGGGGGCCGGCCCCAAGGGGCGGGAGGACCCGGCAGCCCACCGCCATTACCTCCCGAAGGTGTACTTGCTCTCGGCCCGGAAGAAGTAGACGTGGGATCTGAACTGCAGCTTGAAGACGTGCTCCTTGTGGATGCCGTCGGCCTCGCTGGGCACGCTCGCGCTGTAGCCCAGCAGGGGGAGGCTGGCCAGGGGGTGGTCGTCCTGGGGGGCAGGGGGTGGGCAGCACAGCTCCGCAGGTGCCCCAGCCCCTGCCCACCCCACCTGTGGCGGGGGGTCCCACGCACCGCAGGCCGAGGTGCCCGGGGGATGGCAGGGAGACCCCAAAGCAGGACGGGCGGTGCAGGCGCCCCAGGCCCCCACGGGCCCCCTACCTGGTGGGTTTTGTAGAAGAACAAGCAGAAGTTGGTGAAGACCACCCAGAGCTTCTGCCAGCCGTTGCTGTTTTTGAACTTTCTCAGCAGATACCCTGACAGCTGGTTCTGGAAGAGACGGAAGCGTGTCTGTCAGGGTCCCAGGACCCTGGCTCCCCGGAGCCACCCCCTCCTGGCTCCGTCCTCCCGGGTCTCCTGGGAGCAGGCGTGCTGAGGGCACAGGCTGACCCCTCTGCGGTCTGAGGGGCTCGTTGCCCCTACAACCGTCGAGAGTGCTCGGGTGTGGGAGGGGGGTGCTGCGGCAGACCCCAGGCAGCCGAGGCTGGACGGTCTTTTCACGTGGTTCGGGGGGGGGTGGGTAGGTGTGCACTCGGGATGAGCTCGGGCTGAGCTGAGGTGCAGCTTGCCCGGGGCAGGCTACCCTCTGCAGCGTCCCCTCCCCGGGCTGGTGCCAACGCCACTCCCCCCACGGCCACCCTAGGGTGACCCATCTGTGACACCCAGGTGTGTGCCGGCTCACGGGGGCACTCCAGTTCACATGTGCCCTGGGGGTCAGGCCCCACCTGACAGCTGAGCTTGGGGCTCTGTCCTTCCTGCCCCCCAGGCTCAACCCACAGCACGTAGGAGGTGACCCGAAGAGCTGGCGGCCAGAGCGCACAACCCCGCTAGCACTGGGGTGCGCACGGCCCCAGGGTGACCCTCGCCCTGCCGCCCTGGCCCAGCCCTGCCACCGGGGCCCCCAGGGCACCCAGCAGCGGGCGTGGGCCGAGGGTGCTCGCGCGGCCCCGCTTCGTACCTCGACCGCGGCACTGTGGTCGGCGCGGGAGACGCTGGTGTTGCGGTGCCAGCACACGTGCACGGTGGTGTTGGCCCGGGGCCGGCCCTGGCCCTCCCGGGGGCCGTGGGCGCCGTGGGCGTCTTCCTCCGACTCCTGCTCCAGACAGGCCTCGTCGGGGGGTCCTGGGGGAGACGTCCACCCTCTGCTCAGGGGCGGGCGGGCCGGCCCTGGAGGCGGGGCCCTGGGAGCTGGGAGCCGCCCCTTCACACCCAGGCCAAGAGCAGGCAGAGCCCCAAACCGCAGGGCGGCTGGGGGACAAGCCCACCCTTCCCCTGGGCGCGGTCTGGGCAGCCCCTGGTGAGCAAGTGCAGGTGGTGACCCGAGAAACCAGCTCACGGGGCCCCCGGGGGCCTCGTCCGGAGCTCACCGCGGGGAGCAGCACACATGGCACTGCCCGGCAGAGCCGGGGCCGCCTCCCCGCTGCCCTTGGCCGCATCGATGGCGCCGTTCAGGTCGTGCATCCACTTCTCCTTCTCCAGCCGGGTGCTGCGGGGGGACGGCAGGGGCTCAGAGCCGGCCCGCACAGCCTCTCGGGGGGGGGATGGGGTTGGGGTGCCTGTCCTGTGGGTCCAGGCGACCGTCGAGTGCTGCTGGGGGCTCGCCTGCACCCCCCAGCAGCACCTTCGGGTGGACTGGGGTGCTCTGCTGGGTAGCATGTTCCTGAAACAAGGTTTCTCAAGTCTCAGGTACGATACGGGTTGGTTGCTGGATCGCCACTAAGCTGCCAGGGTCTCCTGACCCGGATGCCCGCCTGAGAGAAGGGCTCCTGGGGGGGGGGGGGGGCTGATGGCTGAGGCCGGGCTGCCCTGTGGCCCTCGAGCCCAGGCCGAGCTGAGGCCGCCTCCCCTTGAGCGGACGACGTGGGAACTCGGTGCTCCGGAGCCTGCCTGCTTCCCACTGCACAGCCGGGGGCCCGGACGCAGGGGAAGTGTCGGGGCTCGCCCCCTGGCCGCTGGCACAACTTGGCTTCAGCGTGCCAGAGCGCCCGTGCCCCTGGCGGCCAGCCATCTCTGCAGCCCCGCTCCCGTCCCGCCCTGAGCCTGAGGCGCAGGGAGCAGCTGGGCAGGGCCGCAGCCGGTCTGGGGACAGACCCCCCGGCGGAGCTTCCCCCTAGCGCCCCACCGCAGGGGCAGCGGTGCCCACGGGGCACGTGCCGCCCCTGTGGCTGTGGAAGGGTGCCCCCAGACTGGGAAGCCCTGCTCCGAGGCCCCGGGCCCCCCGGGGTGCAGACCGGGAGGCTCTCACCTGGCAGCCACCACGACTGTTTTCTGAGCAGCGTAAATCGTGAAGCAGTGCGGCACCGACCACTCACTCTCGCTCTCTTCTACCTGTGGGCGGGGGAGAGGCAGCGGTCTGGGCCGGGAGCAGGGCCGGCTGGCACCAGGCCTGCACTACAACACAGACGACGTGGAGACTGTGCCGTCCAGGCCTACGCTGGTTCTACGGGGGGCTACGGGAGGCACGAGGGGTCCCCACGCCGTGGGGGGCACCGGCCACCCGGGCGGGTGAGCTGTGGGCCCCAGCCCCCAACTACTCACCGGTGGGTCCAGCACTATTAGCTGAAAACCAAGCACAGGAAGAAAGGTTGAGCGTTCTCGTTATTAACAAGGGAGTTGGACAATTCATTTCATAAACTTGTCATCAAAACCGCCACAAAGTCAAAAGAAAAACAGGGATCGTTTCTCTAAATGCCGAAGACAACGGCTAGAATCTGGAGTGTGACTTCCGGTGACACCTCTTAGAGTCGTCGGAAGGAAACTCTGATGGTGATACCGTGGTCCTTCTCAAGCCCGGAGCCGTCGGCCTAACCCAGGACCAGCCAGCGACCACCCAGCTCCCCGGACACACAGGTCCCCTGCGCCACGGAAGGGATGCCGGCCACAGCCCAGTGCTGGGCATGAATGGCCTCGAATTAACACGAGCAACGGCCAGCAGAAGGCTTCCCAGGTGTCAGTCTCCCCCTCAGTAAACACGTAATTTCCCATTTCAGTGGCGCGTCACAGTTCCGCCAGCAGACTGTGTGTCTGACGAAGGCCCCGTCCTGTTACGATGGAGCTGGAAAATGTTTTTTTAAGATTTTATTTTTAGAGAGGGGAAGAGAAGGAGAGAAACACCAGTGTACGGTTGCCTCCCGCGTGTCCCCTACTGGGGACCTGGCCCACAACCCAGGCCTGTGCCCTGACTGGGAATCGAACCGGCGACCCGTTGGCTCACAGGCCGGTGCTCAGTCCACTGAGACACACTGAAAAACGTGTGAAAAATTCTTACTGCCCAGTGACCACGTGGTCAGAGTGTCACAGTGCAACACATCACTCACGACTCTGTGGTGACCTGGGTGTGAACACACCTGCCAGTCATAGAAAAGTGCAGTAGTGCAATTATAACTTAATAATAGGTGGTTACTGGTCTCTGGGTTTACTATACTTTTTTTATACTATCATTATTTTAGGGTGTACTCTTTGCATGACTTAAAGCCGTTTACCGTGAAACAGTAGCTGTGTTTCACGCCAGCAGCAGCCTCCCACGTCTCGGGTGGTTTTGTGGGTTCAGTGGGGGCTGAGTGCACAGGGCTCGTGGGGTCCGCGGCCGTGCGCAGGGGTGGATGTCCTCCCCGGCCCCCGCGTGCACCCGGCACTCACGCACGGCCACCCCAGCAGCTGGTAGTCCTGCACGCCCGGCCCACGGTCGGGAGCCCCAGCAGCACTTAGAAGGCAGGCCTCGCGAGGCAGGTCCACCACTTCCTAATCTTTTTTTCCATTTGTATCTTTGATACCACGCCTGCACGGTACCTTTTCCGTGTTCAGATGCACAAACAGCCTTGCGCTGGCACTGCCTACAGGGCCGGTGGAGACCGCACGTCGGATCGGCGGAGGCCTGGGAACTGTGCGGGGGCTGCCCCATGTGGGTCCGGGCGGGTGCGCCTGGTGTTCCCACGACAGAGGCACAGGAGGAGACGTTTCTCCAACACACACCCCTGTCG